GGAACTGCAGAGAAGCAGTGTCCACCTCCATTGACTGCACCCAGCACTTCATTGTTTGACACTGGGAGTAAAATACTTTTTCTGATTGTCCTTTGGTTAGTGATCGGGTGTTACAGCATGTGCACGGATTTGTTAAAGTTGATCTGATTCTGTGAAATAATGAGCTGTTCAGCTATTCAGGAAAGGGGGGTGTGCAGACTCCTGTCCTGATAAAGATGAGATCACTTTAATGGCCATATACAACCTCTTGCTTTAGGAATTATCTTTTTGCATACCCCAGCTTGCTCTCCATGAGACACACAGACAGGGAGAGAAGCTGGGAGTCAGAGCAGAGGGTCAGCCATTTATACAGCACCCCCAGAGCAGTTGAGGTTAAGTGCCTTGCTCAAGAGCCTACTCCCAATGGAGTAGGATTCCTCTGTTGCCCATATGAACCAGCAACCTTCCAGCCACAAGCGCAGATCCTGAGCCACAGAGCCACCACACCACCCCACCCCACCCCACTAGCCACCCTGGTTTCATCTTTCCCCGTGCTCGCATGGGTTTACTCCCACATGCCACAGGCCACAGACACGCTAGTAAGCTAATTGGCCCTGATGCGAGTGTGAGAGAACCCCAGTGAAGATCTGGTGTTTCATCCAGGGTGAACCCTGCCTCGCGTCCATCCACAGACGGATTCACTTACGGGGCTGAGCAAGCCAAGCCCAGGGCTCAAGCCAGAAAATACCCAGAGACTCCTGGGTGTACCCTGCCTTGCACCCATTTCTTGCCAGGATAGGCTCTGGTCCGCCACTGGCTAACCCTATACTGGATAAAGAGGTTCATAAATTGATGGATGTATACATTGTAACAGAACAATTCTTTCCAGACCCAATGCAGACGACACAATCCGCAATCCAGGGTGGAGTGAGGAAACACTAGGAAAAAGTCATGCAGGATTCGGGAATGTATATGGGGGGGGCGTGTCCAAAGTGCGCAGGTGTCCAGGGGTGTGAGTCCGGGGCAAACAACCCAAGGATGAGACGAACGGAAAATCCAAAAGACAGGGCAAACGTCCAAAAGCCAGGCGATCCATACGAGACAGACAGGTTAAAAACAGGAACCAGATTGGAACCGGAGGAGGGAACGGAAACTTAAAAACATGACGGAGCCAGGCGATTACAGGCTTGCACGATATGGGAATCAGATGCAGAGCCCCGAACTGAGTGGGTGTCTGGCTTTTAAGGGGGACGGGAAGGAGGCTGGAACAAGGGGCAAGTGCACAAAATCAGGTCCGAAGTGAAAGAGCCGGAGCGCCCTTAAGGAGGAGGGACTACAATCGTGACAGACATTAATGGGGTTGAAAGACCATGTCATTCATCTAGCTAGGTTACTACTACGTAAACATGAATTGGAAGTGAAGTGCTTCAGGAATCTGTGAGATTCCAGATCCGTACAGATGTTAGAGGAGGAGCACTGTACTGGTTATGGGAGGGCAGACATGCACATAAACCTGAAGCTCAAAATCCATCACAGTCTTACTGTGCCACAGATAGCTGTTAAAACCTCTTTCTCCTCACCTTCAGGTCTGCATTTTTCTGAAAGAAAAAGAGAAAAAAAATCAGACAAATCATAACAAGAGAAAATACTGTATATTAGAAAAGCATGGACGCTTGGGTCTCAAAGCGTCTAACCCCAGTCAACAGTTCTGCCGGTTTACACTGATTTAAAAGTCCCCAGCTCCCTCATCGTAATGACCGTCCAGCAGTCCAGGTCCCTTACAGCACCACTATGCGACGTGCAGCGTACACAGGCTGGGCAACACTGGGCCACCAGAACCAGGACAGCACCGGAGAGTCCGCGAGAACTGACTCACCTTCCATCCTGTCTGCCCAAACGGGAGGACAGATGCAGTGATGAAACTTGTGCATTGCTGGCCTGCAGAAGGGGACAGAAGGAAGACAGGTCCCCTTGCTGGCCACTCCCAGTTCCGGTGCAAGGAGGGCACGTCACGTTAAGCTTCCTCTCTGTTTCTTATGGAATATTAGCATGGACCTCGGAACTGCAGAGAAGCAGTGTCCACCTCCATTGACTGCACCCAGCACTTCATTGTTTGACACTGGGAGTAAAATACTTTTTCTGATTGTCCTTTGTTTAGTGATCGGGTGTTACAGCGTGTGCATGGATTTGTTAAAGGTGATCTGATTCTGTGAAATAATGAGCTGTTCTGCTATTCAGGAAAGGGGGGGTGTGCAGACTCCTGTCCTGATAAAGATGAGATCACTTTAATGGCCATATACAATCTCTTGCTTTAGGAATGATCTTTTTGAATACCCCAGCTTGCTCTCCATGAGACACACAGACAGGGAGAGAAGCTGGGGGTCAGAGCAGAGGTCAGCCATTTATACAGCACCCCCAGAGCAGTTGGGGTTAAGGGCCTTGCTCAAGAGCCTATTCCCAATGGAGTAGGATTCCTCTGCTGGCCGCGGGATATGAACCAGCAACCTCCCAGCCACAGACCCAGATCCTGAGCCACAGAGCCACTGCTCCGCCCTTGCATCACTCTTTCCATGGTGTCCTTGCATCATGTCCAGTAGAGCATTTGAGCACCTTTCACATCAATGCTTAGCAAACCTCGCTGCATGAAATATGCTCCTAGTGGTTATCTTAGACTTGGAGGGAAACAAGTTAATTGACTTGAATGGTTTAAATTTGAGAGTGTAATCAAGTTTTACAGAGACGACTTGGATGACACTGAACCATTAATTTGTTACATTAATTACTAATAAGTGTTACATTATTAAGTCTATACAAAACATAATTCCAAAGCGGATGGGGAGGATGGTACAGTGGCACTGTGGTTAGCATTGCATTAGCGCTGGGGGTCTGGGTTCAATTCCAGGGGGTGCTGTCTGAGTGGAGTTTGTATGCTCTCTCAGTGTTCATGTGGCTTTCCTCCAGGTGCGTGGGTTTCAGGATAGGCTCTGGTCCACCACTGGCTATACTGGATAAAGAGGTTCAAAACTGGATGGATGTATACATTAATGGGGCTGAAAGAGCATGTCATTCATCTAGCTAGGTTACTACTACTTAAATATGAGTTCGAAGTGAAGTGCTTCAGGAATCTGTGAGATTCCAGATCCGTACAGATGGGTGAAGTCCATTAGAGGAGTAGCACTGTACTGGTTATGGGAAGGCAGACATAAACCACATAAAACTGAAGCTCAAAAACCATCACAGTCTTACTGTGCCCCGGATAACTGTTTCTCCTCACCTTCAGGTCTGCGTGGTTCTGAAAGAGAAAGAGAAAAAAAAATCAGACTGGATTTTTTCATCATTACAAGATAATATACTGTATATTGGAGACATCAGCAAAGCAGGGTGAGCTGCCGTTTCCGTTTGCATGCAAACTTCCTGCTCCTTGCCCATTCAGGCAGGAATATAAGGCTGATATCACCTCTGGGCATCTGAGCAGTCATTGACCACACATTCAGCCTTGCTATGAAAGAGGTCACTGAGCCCCAGGGGGTCCCCACTTGGGGTTCCCTCATGGACTCCATCAGGGCTCCAGCATCTGGAATTTTGTGCCGTATGAAATTTAACCAGATGTCACATATTTTGAATGATTGTCTCATTGATGGGCTCTTAGCCCTTTGTGTTCGTACTGTGAAAGCCCCGGTAGGGACCCCATGCCCCCGATTCCTTGCTGCTCTGTCACCTGACCCGTTGGAGGAAGACGATTGGTCAGGTGACTGCTTCAAAAAAAAGGACGAGGAAGCTTCCAGAGTCGGCTGGTGGGAGGCTGCTGTCAGAGGGGCTGGAGGTACTTTGGAAAATTGTGTAGTATGCATTTAGCATAACCCTTACCTCTAAAACACACTAGTCTAGTACACACTTATTAAGCAACATTTAGAGGGCAAAGTATCAGTTTCCTAACCACTTTTTATGTGTTTATGGTTGTATTGTACTTCCACCTTTGCTACAATAAAGCAGATTTATGTGTCTTTTTCTCTGCGAAAGCGATCCTGCTTTTTTTTCGTACAGGGGGTCCCTGCTTAATCTGCCCCTGTTTTTACTTTCTGATCTCCTAGACAAGACAATTCCCAAACTGTCTGTGCAAATCTATTAGGTACACCCTAAAACAGAGACCAAAGGGTACAAAGAGCAATTGTCAGCTAAAACCATTACAAAATAGCTTTATATTGCATAGAAAGTATTATAGTTCAGGTGGGCACACACCCGAAGAAGCACCTCAGCCGAAACGTTGTGTTTTCTTTCATCTCTTTTCAGCGTGCAATAAACCTTTTCTTGATCCTTTATAAATTATTATTATTATTATTATTATTATTATTATTATCACATCTGAAGTAAAAAGTGAAAATAAATCTGATTTAAAAAGTTAAAAGTTAACTCACCACATTGTGCCAGCTTTTCCAAATTTAAGGCCAAGTAATTTTCATGAATTTCACGTAAAATTTGAATGGCCAATTCCACCGCGCCATGCTCTCCACAGACGGCAACCAAGCGTGTTGCCAGATCTATCGGATCACACAGGGTAATTTCTGACCTGGGGAACTTTCCTCCTCGTCCCTTGTCAATGAGCTTGTCCTTAAATCTCTTGAGGCGCTTTTCTTCCAGGTCTTCCAAGCTGTCCAGGATGTGATCCTTGATGGTTTTTCCCATCTTGCACAGTGAGATATCTACTTGTTTATGTTTCCTACACCATTCATGTCCATCAACAAAAGATGGAATCAAAGAGCAGCCAGTCTCAAGCTTACAAATATGAAAGAAATGGTATTTCAGGTGTAATTTCAATCAAATTCTCCTCTCTCTCTGCTGCTGTGTGTTGCTGTGATTGCTGTTGTGGGTGCTTTCAGTTTCACCTGAGCTGGGATTGATAATTAACAAGGTTAACTTGGCTGTTTAGCAGTCTTATTGTCTGGAGGTAGAAGCTGTTCCTGATCTGTTGGACTTTGACCGAATGCTTCGGTACCGTTTACCAGACGGTAGGAGAGAAAACAGTTTGTGACTGGGATGACTGGGGTCCTTGAGAATGGACCTGGACTTCTTAAGACATCTAGGTGAGTGGAGATCCTGGATGTAGCTCACAGCCGGTGATGAGCTGCGCTGACTTCTGCAGTACTCTGCAACCCCGGGCAGAGCAGCTCCCAGACCAGGCAGTGATGCAACCAGTCAGGATGCTCTCAATAGTGCACCTGTAGAAGCTGGCCTGGATATGTGACGGCATGCTGAACTTCTTTAGCCTGCGGAGAAAGAACAAGCACTGCCGTGCTATTTTGACCACGGTGTTGGTTGGTTGGTCCAGGTTAAGTCCTCTGAGATGTTAACTCCCAGGAACTTAAAACTGCTGACCCTCTCCACTGCAGTCCCATTGATGTAAATAGGTGTGTGATCTCCTCCCTGATGTTTCCTATAGTCCACAATCATCTCCTTTGTCTTACTGATGTTAAGAGAGGGGTTGTTCTCCTGGCACGATGCTGCCAGGGTTTCAACCTCCTCCCTGTATGCAGACTCCTCACCGTCTGTGATCAGGCCAATGAATGTTGTATCATCCACAAACTTGATGATGGAGTTTGAGTTATGCCTGGCGACACAGTCGTGGGTAAATAAGGAGTAGAGGACAGGACTAAGCACGCAGCCAGTGTTTAGAGTTTAGAGTTTAGAGTGTTTAGAGTCAGGGTAGAGGATATGTTGGTGCCCACCTTCACCACCTGCGGACGTTCCTTCAAAACGTCCAGGATCCAGTTACAGAGGGAGGTGTTCAGTCCCAGGTCCTGGAGCTTGATGACAAGCTTTGAGGGCACTATGGTATTGAATGCTGAGCTGTAATCAACAAACAGCATTCTCACATATGTTCCTTTCTTATCCAGGTGTGAGAGGGCAGTATGGAGGGCAGTGGCAATAGCACCCTCTGTTGACTTGTTCTGGCGATACGCAAATTGCAGTGGGTCTAGGGTGTCAGGCGGTGAGGAGGTGATGTATGCTTTGACCAACCGCTAGAAGCACTTCATGATAACTGATGTGAGTACAACAGGGCGGTAGTCATTCTGGCAGCTGACTCTGAGTTTCTTAGGAACAGGGACAATGGTGGTTTTCTTAAAGCAGGAAGGAACTATAGACCGAGCTACAGAAAGAAAGATTGAAGAGAAAACATCTGCCAGCTGGTCTGCACATGCCTTAAGAACACAGAGTCTTCCTGGCTGGATCTGTGTTACTGACCTCAAACCGAGAATAGAATGAATTGAACCCTTCAGGAAGAGAGGCAGACTGTTGTGTCATATAGTTGCATTCTGTTTTGTAGTCTGCAATGGTGCGTATACAACTCCACATGGTCCGTGTGTTGCAGTTGTGATAATATGACTCTAATTGTACTCTGTAGTTGTATTTAGCTATGGCAGGTGAAATTCAGATTATTTTAGAAATGCAATCACTCAGGAGAAGAGACGAAAACTCTTTACTAGAGTAAAGATGATCATGGCTGGTTCACAATACACGTGATTATGAATAAAAAAGTATTTGTTTAATTTATTATTAATAATACAATTATTAATAATAAAATTATAAGACAAGGCAAGAGATCCTACTTACTTGACTTTGATCCTGGTACTGGTTGATCTTTGTGCAGTGACTTCTTTGAAGATCTATTTTTACCCTGGAAACGTTTGCGGTCTTATCATGCTGAGAATGACCGTAGCAAGCACAGCTTTCATCACAATTGTGTGACACACTCCCGTGTGGGTAGTCAGAGAATAGGAACTGACGGACCAGTCAGGGCAAAACAGTACACAGAACAGTCGTGACATAAAGAGCAGAGAGTACGTTCTTCTCAAGTGTGAAACACTTCTCAAACCACACGAAACACACGCCTCAGCTCCCTCTTTCAGCTTTGACCTACCTTTTTTAGCTTTGAGCTAGATTTCAGTCCATGACTAATTGTGGCTCCTCACTAATACCAGCCACAAAACTGCGAACGATGGACAGAGGGGGGATGAACGGAAGGGATGAATGGATGGATGGGTGCAGGGATTGAGGGTGGGTGGATGGAAGGGTGAATGGATGAATGGGCAGAGGCATAGAAGGGTGAATGGGTGGAGGGATAGAAGGGTGAATGGATAGATGGAAGGGTGGGTGGGTGTATAGGTAGAGGGATGAATAGATTGAAGGGTGAAGGGATGGAGGGATGAGGACTGGATGACTGGAGTTGATATATTCAAGGCACAGCAACAGGCCCTTTAGCATTATTTCCCCCAGACCTGACTAATCGAGTGGGAGTGTGGAAGAGAGGATTGGGCAAGGTGGCTCCCAAGTCCTTCTCACCCTGCTCCCTTGAGCCAGCTTTCTGATCTCTGTACACAAGGTTTGCACTCTGCCTGTTCTTCCACTTACCCCCAGTGCTGTCTGTTTAGAGCCAATCCGACCCCAGTGGGTGTAGGAAGCAGCCCACACAGGTGAGGACAATGGGAACCACTGCTGGGATACCAGGAAGATGGCTGGGATTAGAACTGATCTTACCAGTTAAAATCGAACCAAACAGAAAATAGAAGTTCTTGTGAAAAGGGCTGTCATGCGTTGTCACTCACTTGCTGCCAGAGGGGATGCATTCTCAGAAACAGTCTATGTGGTCACCAGCCTGGCACCAAGATAGAAACAGTTCTGTGGTTTATTCTGACTGACAATGTCAGTACGGTACCTTATAAGGTCTTCATCTGAGACCCCCTATGGAGCCCTCAGCGGTTTAGCTCACTGACTGACCACAAGCTCAGGAAGTGGAGAAGGGCTATATTAGGTGTGCGCACGCGAAGCTGCAGCCTCTCCACCAGACACCCAGTCTCAGCAGCTGCACTGCACTCTGGCACAGGGGGCGCGTCGACCTTCAACAGAGAGGAGGAGACCCGGCCCTCGCCCCTCCGGAAGAGAGCAGCTAGCATCCAAGAGAGCTCCTCTGCAGGTGCGCGCTGAGCTCTGATGAGCATTGACCTGCATCTGGCCACAGAAAGGGTCGTCACCGGCTGTAAGTTCAGATCTCCAGCGGCTCTCTGCTGCCCATTAAGCTATGACTGTGTTGG